AGACAGACAGACAGACAGACAGATAGATTCAAGTCTTCTCATCTAACATTAGATAAGTGGTCATTGGAGTGTGGTGCTGGCATGGTTATGGAAAGCCCTCTCAAACGAAGTTTGACTGGGATCAAGTTAAGACTTTGATTTATTTGTATAGGTTTGGAGCTGGAGATGGATTGCTGGAGTTAAAAGCTTATGAATCTTATGATTTCTTTTTATTATATACAGTGCTTTGATTTGATTGCTTTCATTTTTCAGTGCTCTGGAAGTGGTAGGCTAATAGATGTTAAGTAAATAATATTTTACAATGACCATTTAACCTTTCACTTCTGTGCAAAAGCAGTTGGCGTGTTGTAAACCTACTGCTTGTCAAGACACTGGATTTCATAATTTAGATTGTCCACTCCTATAACAGTAACAGTAACAGTACCAGTCCTGGTTCTGTTTTTAGTTGTGTTGACTTGAGTTGCACATAGTGTTCTCAGTATACATATCACAATGGCAGTATTAAGCCACAGGTGGCAAATACAAAGAAGAGATTATCACTTTTAAAAAGATACAATGTTTTTTATTTAATGTGCTAAATTATTTCCAAGATTAATAGAAATGCTTTTTTGTGTCTGTAGCATCATCAGATCATCCAACAGTACATGGTGACCTTGGAGAACCTTCTATTTACAGCAGAATTGGATCATCACATATTGGCTGTATTTCAGCAGTTTTGTGCGCTGCAGGGCTGACTGATTTTTTTCTGTAGAGAACTGAATTTCATCTTTTTAGGTTTAAGATGGAAACTTTCATAAGAAAGGAAGGAAAAAATCTTTTAATCTGAAAATGTGTTAACTGTGCTGTTCTAGATAAACTACACATTGCTTAAATTTTTGGCAGTAGGGGCCTTATCCTAGTTATGATTGCTGAGTGTTTGGGATGGAATAATGCGTGGATTTCTAAATTTGAAATGGATTGAATGTTGACTTTGCCATAGCATCCCTTTTGTGCCCTCCTATTGTTGGTATAAAAATTAAAAATAGAAGATAATAAATAGAAGTGGCTCTTGGTTTGCCCTTTGCATTTCAACGGATTCCATAATAATGTGAAACAAGTCTCAAAACGTACGAATCTGTCTGAAGAGCCTTTTCAGTGTAAAACTCAAAGCTCCACAAGACACTGAAGCCTCAAATATATGAATGCTTAAATGGGCAAGTCTACAAAGGAGTCTTGAGCATGTTTGCTACCAAAATGAATTTATCATGATTGTGTGAAACCTAATGGAAATACAGTATGTTTTTTATATCAATCTCATGTGCTTATTTTGGGTCACATGGAATAAGAAAAAATCTTGTTAAGAAATAATTACTAAAGCAGAAATTTGTGCTGTCAGTGCAGATTTAAGTTGCATTAAGTGACTTAAAGCTATCAACAACTAGCCTGACCTCCCTTCCATAGCTTAGGATTGTCTGACTACTATGGAGAAAGCTTACTAGTCTTCCGGGTTTTATCGGCTTAGACCAAGAAGACAATCAGGACTGCTGTGCATCTCCTTATATATTTATGTTTACTCATAAGTTTGATAAGCCGAGTCATTAGATTAAGGCTGGCTTTGCCAATATTTTTATCACCTTCTTAACTTGAGAGTAAGAAATCACCCAGAGCTCCTTAAGGGCCTATTCTTAATAGTAGAAAATATATGTAGCTCAGAGTTGAATTGCTGGGTTCTTGGTATTCTTGTGTTTCGTTACTAGGCTAGGTAACATTATGTACTGATGATGTCATCCAGCCTGTTAATGAAATGTCTTCAAGAAGAAAAGCAAG